AGAAAGACTTTCAGGCTCTTTCATAAGAAAGACTTGAGGGTGCCAAATGTACAAATACATACGTGTGTGTGTGTTGTTTTTCTTTTTTCAAAAGAGGGTGGGTTTGGTTAATTTTTTTTTTTTTTTTTTTTTTTTTTTTTTTTTTTGCGATTCTATGATCCATGAATATTACTACATAAATATTTCCTTTTGTTATACTTCTTTTATTAACATGTTTCAGCAGTTTTACTTTCCTATACAATTCTAGAATGAATAATTCCTAAATGATTTTTAAGGGAAAGTACTATTTTTTTTGACATTTTTGTGTCCAAACTGTATAGTTAAATACAGTGTACACAATCATTTACATATTAAAATTGCACTGGTATTAGATATTAAGCAAGATAGTTAGAAAAAAGCCTAAGAAACATCAATTATATATTTTTTGCTTAGTTTTTATAAAATATTGGGCTTCTCTTAAGATAGTTGAATTATTTTTCCTGCCATACCTATTTATTTTTGGAAAAAATATCTCTGAGACATAGAACCAAAGATAGAGATGCTTTGCTATATATTATAACTAACTGTAATTGCTTTTGCAAGAAAACAATCTGGAATTCAAAACTAAAGTAAGGGAATTGCCTGCATGCAGTCTATATGTATGTGAATAACATCTCAGCATGCAGAAAATAATTTTGGCAACCTTGAACAGGATTGTTCATTGTACACGTCCCTGAAATTCCATTTATGGGAGTGTCTATTATTCAATAGCTGAATGGTTTCTTAAAACAGACAGGCTTTTGGCTGTCTTCATAACTAACAGTAATTATATCAATATAGCCGTCTGACCACATGTGAAAGGCAGCTAGAGTCATTGTATTCACAGTTTGGCTACTCTTGAGTAGGAGTAGACTGATTAAGAGGCAGACTGCTTAAGAGGTCATCTAGTTTGATATAAACTGTAGAAAATTCAAGCACTTTGTTTTGAGTCTTGTATTTCTAAATACATAGTCATTTGTTTCAAATCAAGCAATCCGTATTATCTGGTTTATTCGTAGAATAGTTCCAGTTGGTTCTAGTAATATAAATGCCAACCAGTAAGTCATTCCAGGCTACTACTAAATAATAAAAAGTAGATGGACCAGAATCTGTGAATTTGGAAATGGGTCATAGAAAAAGCTTCCATTTGGCCAAATATGGCAATTATCAAAATATATTTTAAAATACACAGTTAAAAGTTAAAATCTAATTTGAAACAAGACTTTAGTGAAAATAAATGTTAGAAGGGCTACTTTATTTTACAAACTTGACATAAAAATAAATGCTAAAAGGCTTAACATGAACCTGTCTGCATTTTTACTCTTGGAGTAAGACAACTGTTACTCTTAGGCTTTTGTTATATGTTCACACATGGCCACATGTTTATGTAAAATTTGCAGAAGTTTGATGTTTTGATTTATAATAAAATCATATATTTTACCTTGTATGTTTACTTTATTATACTTCAGATTGTATAGTTATGTAACTGGTATTCTGTCTGTCTGTCTATATATACATATACACACACACATATATATACACAAAAAGAAGACAAACAAGTACATTTACTGTATACAAACATATGCATTAAATAGTTTTTGTAAGCAATTATAAGAAACTTTAAGAGTGATTATCTTTAGAAAATGAAAGCAAGGAGAAGATGCCTTTTACTTTTCAATTTGTACCTTTTAGTACCCTTTGTATTTTCTAAACTAATATATGTTTAACTAATATTTTTTTTTGCTTGTAGTTATCATTTTAATGCTTGTTATACATTATCTAATTCTAAATAAATACTTTCATTATTGATTTGTATTATTTTAAAAGAAAGACTTCCAAATTGTATAAGCTTCAGATTTCACAGAACTTTCTCTGGACCCTGCCCAACAAAGACCAAGATACCTTGTGCATACAGCTTATATCAGTCCATGATAGTTTTCTCATGATCCTGACGAGGATTTGACAACAGGCCATCACCCCATTATGTAAACCTTATACCCTGGGAAAACACACTGTACTCTATAACATTGTGTCCCTCTGATCCCAATATATTACCCACCTCAGTCTTCTCAGTAGAGCCATTTCTGTCTCTTGGTTCTAATATTTTCTTTACTACCTCATTCATGTATTCATTCATTTATATATTTATTAGCCAGGAGAGCAAGCAATGTGTGGCTTAAATCTCTGCTCTGAGAATTTAAAGTGCCAGATTTAAGGTGACTCAAATGACAGGGTCAGGTTTAAATTTAGCCAGATGACAATCTCATTTCTACTTTATCATAATAGTGAGAAATATTTATTAACCTTATGGGCTAACTGCCTGTATTTGGAAACCAGAACCCCAGGCTTCCCCTGTGATTATTGGGTGTCTGGTCTAGGGTAAAGGGAAGGCACCTGATCCCTGGGATTATTGGGTGTCTGGTCTAGGTTAAAGGGAAGGCACCTGATTCCTCCTGGGATGCCATTTATATTACAGCATATATTGAGGTGAAGGAAATATATCTTAGACATGTATGTATTCTCTTTGAATGAATTGGCATTTGGAGTATAGGAGTGGATGAGTTTGGCTTCCAACTCAGTGTGGATTCTGAGATACTCTTCAGCCTGAGTGGTTGAGGCTGGCTCTAAGGGTGCTCTAATCTGTATCTCTTATATAGGTTTATGTATCTGATGAGTGTCCAACCTAATCCATTGGATTAAGGAGACCTTCATCTCTTTCAGTCATAAGGCATACTGCCAAATATCAGGTCCAAATTTTAATTGTAAGTTTGGCAGAGCGACATGGAAACTGTGTTTACAATATTTACAAGTCTTGACATCAATATATGTATCCTAATAAGGATGGAGTAGAATTCTGAGACATGTAATAGTGATGAGTGTGAGAATCTTGAATGCCTGCAATCCCCTGACCCCTTGCTGTTGGAGAACAGCTTCCCTGTTCCTGGAGACAAGGCAATAGCCTCAGCCAAAGCAGCTACCTTAAAGGACATGGTCTTACTCAACATCCAGCACTGATATTTTTTCATTGCTTCCAACTCAGGACAAGGGTAAGTTATCACAGCACAAGAAGCAAATTACAGTTTCTGTTTAGAAGGAAAATCCAGAAGCAATTATAGGAACTAATATGTACAGGCATGAACTGGGATAATATATGTTGGAATGGATTTCGAGGATGTCGAATTAGCAAGGGAAAGGGGCAGAATATAAGTGAATATAGGGGAGAACTTCTTGACATGGGAGCACACACCTATGACTCAGGGTTCAATGACCTGGAGCTACCTTAATGTGCTGCTTGGGTGGTACATTTAATGAGATGGAGACACTGGAACTTTCTTGCCAGAGTATTGAGGAATAGGTGAGGTGATCAAATAGAGTGAAGGTATTAGAAATGATTTATTGCATAAGACAAGAGGACTTTTATCTAAACTATTTTTCCTGGGAGAGCAGAGGAAACAGTACTATAATAACTGTGTTGATGAGGGAGAACACTTTTTTGAGAAGCTCGATGTTGGCTCTCCTCTCTAAACTGTGATCGGAAATAAACTATATTGCAATGGAAATGAAAGACTTCTAGAATGTTAGGGCCCAAGTGGCAGTACAAAACCTCAGGGGCAAGTTGGGCATCATTACCATAATGAGAAGCAAGATCAGTGGAGTCAAGCTATTCTGACCGACAGAAATCTGTGGAAATACCTTACAGATAGTATCCCAGGGCTAGATATATGGACAACTGACTAGAGTATTATTTCTTTTATACAAAAAGAAAAACAGACTTGGCAAGTTCAAGTCTGATGTTAGCAGCTGTAGTGAAAAATCGTGGTCTCGACCACGAATTTTCAGATCTGCAGTGCTTGCAAGGAGCCCTGCTACTCAGGACATGTGACTCAGAATATTTGATAGTGCTTATGGTATCCATGGTGAGTAAGAATGCACTCATCATTCTAAGCCATAATATGGGACTGCAACGTAGAATCCTGTAGTTCTGTACATAAGCCATACCTCCTGTGCCAGTAAACTACTTGCCACTTAAAAATAGCTCTTTATATCCTGTTTAGGCTTAGTAGATATGGAGCACCTAACCAAGAAATAGCAACTAACTATACAATAAGCGCTGCCCACCATACACTGTACATTATGAGATTTGCCAAGTGATAAGGCCTGGCAGGCTCAAGAGCAGTCCACCCTGTGATGGTATTGCTACACTCGGGATCTAGCCTGAGAAGGCACAAATAAATCAGCAGATTGCACAAACCCCTATGTCATTGAGCATTGTTACAATGATGCCCTTCATGGTGTTGGGGGTGATCTATGACCAACTACCGGAAATGGAAATTCTCAAGCCTGGTGCAAAGATATGTCAGCATTAAATACTGATGATAGCTGTGAATTAACTGCCACCTTAATTCAACTACAATTGGAGTAGCCTTAAAGAATAATGTTGAACAGAAAACTCCCAGTTGGCATGATCTTTCAACTTGTATGGAGGGAGTTGTAGCTTGAGGTGGTCTCCTGGACTGTGGAGAATGATTTGGCTGATATGCCAGCATCTTGGAAAAAGAAATATTGGAAAATGAAGGTGAGAAAGTCTGGATAAGAGGCATGTAGATGGAACTATGGGAATGGAGACAAAGCTTATGTATCTCTGTGCCTCATATTAATGGCCATCCAAAGAACTGACTGTAGAGAAGACAATGAAAAAAATAAGTGGATCTGATGACTCATGCTATAAGATGTTAAACAGCTTCTCTTCTCAATCATCTTAGTTCTGTCACAGTGGATCCATGAATTTTCATGTGGCATGAATGGAGCCTAAGCTTGAGCTCAACAGCATTGGTTCTCCCGAATCAAGGG